ACGCTGAGCGAACAGACTCTGACTGTACGCAGCCAAGTCAAGACTATTGGAAAGAGGCTGCGCCCTCAGCAAATGTGAACGGCATGGGCCCACAGAAAGAGGACATAACCAAGGCGATTCTATCTTGAGTAGAGCATTCAGCAAATTTCAGAGTGAGCCTCATGCGCAGCCTGCAGTACGAGGCCATTTGCAGTAAAGCGTGGAGTGATTTTGGAATCTGGCTGCCAGGAAAATGTTAGCTTCGGCTGACACAACCGGCACATTCAGCGCCACACCGCCTCCTGGGAACATAGTTAATGCCTGCACACGTAACTACCTTACCTGACAAAATCCGAAATTTTTGAGCCCTTCACACCTAAGGTTGGACGGCCTTGTGACAACGGCCTACCCTGAAGTATGGGGGTTTACTAATTCAAGTGCTTGGGGCAACTCCATGACCTGCCCGGCGGTCGTTGAGAAGGACGCAAGCACGGCACCATGGCAAAAGCCAAAATGCTCGCCTCTCTGCCATTTTACTGCCCTCTCCAAATTCCATGAACATGGTCAATGCGCACTTAGTGATCAGGACTTGGTGACTGCCGCGATTCGTTGTTATTTCCTGTCGTGCTATGATATAACTGACTTCAGAGCACCCGGTGCTGTGAGGCTTGCGTTTGCCCAGCTTGAGATCTCCTATTCTGCAATCTCGCTTGGCGTAGCAGTACAAGCAACGTTGCCTTTGGCGATCTTGTCCGGACAAATGTTGCTTGTGCAGTTGTACGCAGTCTCTGCTCTTGCTTGGGATTGCATTTTGGGTCCCTCCACGTCCCTCCACTGGATGCCTCACCTGTGGCCCGGCCTGGAGGAATGCTCATGCTGTTTTTGGATGATTTAGCATCGCGGCCATTCAAATATCCTTCCTTTTCCCTGAGCCTTGAAGGCACACTGCCTACGGGGCTATTGGGGTTAACAGTACCCATCGTTTGTGGCAACTTGGATTGATTTAAGCAATAGGCGCGACCGACGTACCACTCAAGCTCGCTGAGGAGAAAAGAGTAGTTGTAGCATCAGCAGCAGCAGCAGCAGCAGTAGTAGGAGCTGCAGTTGTAATTATGATGTAGTAGCAGCAGCAGCAGCAGCACCAGTAGTAATAGTAGTATTAATTAACAGTAATAGTGAGAGTAGTGCAAGAACTGAGTGAAGGGAAAGTGATGGTAGTAATAGCAATTAAGGATAGTAGTGAAAGTAGGAAAAGGTACTCGTAGTAATAATAGTAATAGTAGGAGCACTTAATATTAATAGCGGCAATAGTAGGAATAGCAAGAGTGGTAATAGTAGAGATAGTAGTCCCAGTAGTAGCAATAAATATATCTATTATGGCGGCGGCTGCTGCTGTGCTGCTGGTGTTGTTGGTGGTGGTGGCGGCGGCGGAGGTGGTGGCGGCGGTGGCGGTGGCGGGGGCGGTTGCTGTGGCGGCGGCGGCGGCCGTGGTGGGGG